GCGATAAACGAGGGACAGCTGAGAAATATAACATTTGAATCCCTTTTCTCTTTTGCCCTGAGGCGCTGGGGAAAATATTGACAAGTCGATGAACCTCATTTACAGATATATTGGGTAAATGCCCGAGACATCTATAGAAATGTAAATCGCCGCTTGATTTATTCATTTGCTTAACTTGTTTTGGACCGTAAACGGGGCGCGAATAGGACACCGGAAACAAAGCTCCCCACAGGAGTTTCCGCACCGGAAGTAGCATATGCTAACGTGCACATAGTCAATTCTGACTGGGAACTCAGAAATTCCGACTTCTGATTTATCAGGAACAGCTCTACAGTTTGAGATACATTAATGAAACTTGTCACACACTTCCCAAGATGTACAAAAAAAGTCTATGGTCCACCTTGACCCACCCAACAGCAAGACAGCCATTTTGAATTAAAGATGAAATTTTGGTGGTGATTTTATCATTTCTAAGATTTATACTTTTTCAAACTCCTCTTATGGAGTTTAATGGATAAATTTCATGTTTGCTCAGTCTAAACGACGGACATCAGCGATTCCAAAAGCTTTGGAAGAAATTGTGAAGCTTTTCAGAACACAACATTTTCAAATGTACATCGTCCAATCTGGAGTCTGGAGACACATATGTGCCAATATTGGGTCACGCTTATGGGGCCTGCCAGTGGCACCTGGAAATCAGCAGTAGGTGACAATCATCATCCCATGTACCAGAAATTTTAATTGGTGGCTCAGCGCATGATGTTAGCGTGACACATAGTTAGTGGGTATTCTACATCAGCGGTCCCCAACCTTTTTTGCGCCACGCACCAGTTTATGTCCTACAATATTTTCACGGACCAGCCTTTAAGGTGCTGATAAATGCAACAAAATCAAACCAGTACAAAAAAAAAAGTTTTATTCATAACACACAAAATAACGATAAAAACCCTGAAAACCATAAATTTCGCACCCGAGCCTCAACCCGGTGCCAAATAACTCATGGACTGGTCCATTGCCCAGGATGGGGACCGCTGTTCTACATCACGACCTAGTGGGTATAAGTGTTCAGAAGCTAAATGACACAACACCCGATTAGCATCCACATGACCATGTGACACTGCTCAGTCACGGCAGACCAGAGCTTTAACTCAGCTTGAACGCAGCATGGCGGGGCGATTGTGGCTCAAGAGTTGGGAGTTTGCCCTGTAATTGGAAGGTTGCCGGTTCGAGCCCCGGCTCGTGTCCTTGGGCAAGACACTTCACTTTTTGCCTACTGGTGGTGGTCAGAGGGCCCGGTGGCGCCAGTGTCCGGCAGCCTTGCCTCTGTCAGTGCGCCCCAGGGTGGCTGTGGCTACAATGTAGCTGCCATCACCCGTGTGTGAATGGGTGGATGACTGGTTGTGTAAAGCGCTTTACAAATACAGGCCATTACCATTACCATGGCTCAAAGGCAGGATGCTTGGACGTGTGCTAGGGTACAAGGGCCCTCCTATTACTTCTTGCAGCTTTAGTTATTATTATTGTTGTTATTATTACTCCTTGTCTTTTCAAGGGAATGGGGGCTCCACTCTGTACGCACTGCAGCAATTAAATGACATCTATGGAAAGTCTCTGGGCAGACTGAGAGTAATCCTGATTCATGCAGGTATTTCTTATTTTTCATTCTTAAATGTGAAAAATGATCTTGTCCTTCTTCTTCTTCTTCTTCTTTGTCTTCTTTTGGCTTCTCACTTTACATTTTCAGTAGGCTTCTACTTGTTTACTCCAGTATGAGCTGCAGTAACTGTCAGCATATTTCGCTTCTACACAAAATCTAAAACACAGAATGGCAATGTTACCAAGTCACCTAATAAAATATCTGTTATGCATTTCCTTCCATATTTATGATTATATGAGTTTGAAGTTAGGGCCTTCAAATGAAAGTGTTTGGTCTGATTGTTCCACTGTAAATTACAGTAATGCTCACGTATTTTATAAAATGCAACATACTTTATTTAATTAATTCTCACCTTTAAATCGCCTCCTTCTTCCAGGGGGGTTCAGTCAGCGTTTGCCCAGTGCCAGCGCTCTGGGAAAGATCTTCATGGCTGTGCCTTTGGGTGACCCCATCTTTCAGATGCTGGAGCTCAAACTAGCCATGTATGTGGATTTCCCATCACAAATGAAGCCTGGTGTTTTAGTGACCTGTGCAGATGACATAGAGCTCTACAGTATAGCAGAGGAGGAGAGTGTTAAGTTTGATAAACCTGGCTTTACAGCTTTAGCCCACCCCTCCCCGCTCTCAGTAGGAACCACCCACGGCGTTTTTGTGTTGGATCCACGAGAAAAATCTTCGTACTCAGAACTGGAGAATGCTTCCTGCCTGCACTTCCTGCACAAGCCAAGCATTGATAAGATGCGAGGAAGTGGAGCTGTGTGTAAGCAGCAGAGTGGATTGTTTACTGATTCTGAGTTTGTCTACACAGACAGTACCTATTATGTGGACTTTGATACTGCAAAGTCTCTTCTTAATGTGCTGACAGAGTTGGGGCCATTGAGCTGTGAGATAGATGCATACGGGGACTTTCTTCAAGCACTGGGCTCTAAGGCCACAGTAGAATACACCAACAACACTGCTAATGTCACCAAAGAGGAGAGCAGTCTGGTGGAAATCCGCCAGAAGATCTTCCATCTTCTCAAAGGGACTCCCCTGAATGTCATTCTTCTCAACAACTCCAAGTTTTATCACATTGGAACCACCTCAGAATACCTCTTTCACCTCACTGAGCACACAGCTCTGAGGGACGAGCTGGGTCTCCTGTCGTCTGCCTTCAGCGTGCCCGTGAATGAAAACCCCGAGGCCTCCTCTGGCTGCTGCATTATGTACAGTGTCCTCAATCCGAGTTGCTCTGTGGGTGCTGCATCAGTGGTGGAGTACTCCAGACTGGGAGCAGGAGTGTCTGTGGGAAAAGGCTCCATCATCAGCAGCTGCTGGGTCAGTCCAGGCCTGTCAGTGCCCGATGAAGCCTTCATGCACTCCCTTTGTGTGACCCACCACGGCCAAGCCAGCTTTGTTACTGTCTTCTTTGGGATTAATGACAATCTCAAGTACACTGTGGGCACTCCTGCATATATGGAAGAGCTAAAGTTTTTTGGGTTCACCCTGGAAAAGTGTCTGTCCATTTGGGGGATGGAGAAGGAAGTCCTGAGGTTCTCTGGTGATGCATCCAACTGTAATTTGTGGAACGCGTGTTTGTTTCCAGTTTGCTCTGACCAGCAAAGCTCTTTCTTAACATCTCTCAACATGCTGCAGGCGATCCAGAGTGCTTCTACAAGCCCCCTACCCAAAGACACAAAGCTAATGTCGATGCAGGAGTGTTTACAATCTAAGAACCTGGAGGAGATGTTGGAGCTCAGGAAGGGACTATATAATGACATCATGAAGGGGAGATTGAGCAGCTAAAATGACGATGTTTATGCATGTTTAGTTCATATGTAAAGTTTAATTATGTCTGTATGAGTCCTGATGATGATTCAATGGTTAATTGTTTTGTTTTTGTTGTTTTTTTTAAACAATCTGCAATACATGCTTTTTATAAACATGGGGAGGGCTCCATCCAATTTAATTTGGTAAAACTTTACTTTTTTTCCTTCCCCCCTCTGGACAATACCAATATCACCTGAACTTTTACCCCTTGCGAGTCTACCAGGAACGATCCTTGAAGCTCTTTTCTGAACTGAACAATTTCTGTCATATTTCAGGCCTATAGAACAAAATAACTGTGTTTGCATCAGAAGTTCGTGAAGGTCATCTCTACCCATGCATCTACCCTTGGGAAAAAGACAGAATGTCTTCTAATGGTCGTCAAACCACATCTTTATTGATATATAACTAGGTGTCAAAACTGTTCATTAGAGGTACAGGGAGGCTTGTCTTTATGAGGAAAAGGGTTAGAAGGACACGATCAGGACAGTAAAACCAAAGGTGAACTTCAGTCTTCTGTAAAACTTGATAAAAATGAGACAAATGTGAAATAAAGGACAAAAACAAACCTGAAAGAGTGCTGCTGCTTTTCTCTCAGTTCAAAGGTGTCTGATTATTCTCTTCTGACCTCTGGCATCAAAGAGGCATTTTCACCCAGAGAACTGCAGCTTACTGTTTCTCATTTTCACACCATCCTCTGTCAATCACAGAGATGGTTGTGTGGCAAAATCCCAGCATATCAGCTGTTTCTGAAATACTCAGACCTGCTTGGCCACCTTCCAGTACTTAAACCACTTTTCTTCCCCATTTTGATGCTCAGTTTGAACTTCAGCGGGTCGTCTTCACCGTGTCTTTAATGCATTGAGTTGCTGCCATGTTTTTGCTTTAGATGTTTGTATTAATGAGCAGTTGATTTAATATAGTGGCTGGTTAGTGTATATTTTTAATTAATTAATGGGGCGACCGTGGTTCAGGGGGTTGGGAAGTGTATCTGTAACCGGAAGGTCGCCGGTTCGATACCCGGGCTCTCTGTCCTGGTCGTTGTGTTCTTGGGCAAGACACTTTACCCTACCGGTGTTGGCCAGAGGGGCCGATGGCGTGATATGGCAGCCTCGCTTCTGTCAGTCTGCCCCAGGGCAGCTGTGGCTACAACTGTAGCCATGTATGTGGATTTCCCATCACAAATGAAGCCTGGTGTTTTAGTGACCTGTGCAGATGACATAGAGCTCTACAGTATAGCAGAGGAGGAGAGTGTTAAGTTTGATAAACCTGGCTTTACAGCT